ATCGATGTATGATAGTTTCTGCTTTTTATGTTAACAACGCTTTATAAAACTCACATATTTAAAAATGGGTACTATCTTCAGGGTGGGTGATTCCCCCTAATAACGCCGAAAGTAAAAATGTCGAAAAGTAAAAAGTCAGAATGTGGGTGTGAGTAAGGATGTGGGTAACAGAGTAAAGTTACTGTAATAACCACACCCACACCCTCACTCACGTCGTCAAGCTGTTTCTTCTTTATTTGAGAAGGTTTTTTCGACATTTTTTTTTCGATGAAATTAGGGTTAACCGTGTAAGTGTCCATCTCTTATCCACCCACACCCAGTTTGGATATTTTTACTGGTAATTCACAATAAACTACTGACCACTTAATTTCTATTCTTTAAAAATTAAAATAATACCTATGGAAAGATCGATCACTGTTGAAGAACGATAAATTAATTTAATGCAAAAAAATTTTGATGAACTAAAATAAAAAAAAATTTCTACTAATAATATTCTTTTAATTAATTTTTACCATTGTTCTAATGATTTTGCTCGAATACGAATCGTATTTTCATGTTTACGTTTACTATGTATAATTCGTAGAAATGTTAGATTATATTTAATTATTGGATCATTATTTGTTTTCATTATAAGTTGAGTTTGATTAATGTAAACTCTATTTGTTCCTATAGAAAGCCATACTCCTTGTGTCCAGTTTGGCATTGGAATTATTGATGCATCATGTTTATCTGAACAGAAAAAAAATTATTTTTTTTGTCAATAGTTTTATTAATTTACTTGGAATAATTTTTAATACAACAGCTGATTCTCTTGTTAACAAATCTCTACAAGTTTCGTCCTGTGATAAATAAACTTCATTTGGTAAGGAATTATTTTCATTCGTTTTTATTTTTGTATAAGAAAAACAAATAAATCGTTGTTGATTGACACTTCGAGAAATAATATAATTCGTATTTCCATCAGAAAATTGAGCAAAACATGTTGCTATTTCATCTATTTTTTATTTAAAATATATAAATATATATATAGATATTATAGAAATAAACCTTGATATGATTGACATCGATTATTATATGACAATTGAAATGTATCTATTGAAAAACAATTATGAAATGCTTTTGGTTGACATAAGGATAACATTTGATGTTCTTTTTTAAAATACCATGATTGGTCAAATGGACATGGAACCGATTGTGCATTGTCTTAATAGAATTACAAGAAAAAAAAAAGTCAATATTTTATTTTTTTCATTTTTAATAAAATGATTGAATGGCGCCGGGAGTTGCCATTCATTTCCTGTATTTATCTAGGTCACTGAACATTTCATGTCGGTCAATGTCTCGTCCATTCGCTATTGTGAGTATTACTCTTCCCTATGGACTATCGCATATTCATTTTCTATTAATGAATATGAATTTTGATAGATAGATTACATTTTATCTTACCCCGGAAAAGTGTGTATAAGACAGTATCCGGTGTAATCGAACCACAAATACGATTATGATCATCATCTGCATCAAAGCATTCACCTAGAATTAGAAAAAATTCTTATTAATAATTACAAAACAAAAGATTGTATAAGACATCAAATTTTAATTATCATTAGCGGAAGTGTATGACTATCGTTTGTAGATGAAATATTGCATGTAAGTATACATATAACATCAGGAGAGAATTCAAACCAACAAAAATGTCATATATGTATATTGATTGATGATAATTAAGAAAATTTTTGACATGATGATCATTTGTATTTTATAAAATACTTACTCTCTCGATATTGTAATACATTTGAATGTCTTGGAATAAAAAGTATACAACGTTTACATCTTGTTTGTCTAGAAGAAACAGAAAATTATATTATACTTCATATGTTGTTTAACTTACTCATTGTAATATATATATTTATTTTTTACATCTTGTTGTCCATGTAAACATGTTCCTTTCAATGAAAATGATGTATTGTTAATTGTTATCACATCATTTAATCCTGATTGTATCCATTTACCATCAAATAATGTAGAAACCGAACAAATTGAAGATGATAATGAAAAACCTAGAATAAATCCTGACATTTACATTTATATATCGTAACCTTTTTCTTTTTTTGTTATAGTAACTAGCTATTGTCTCAAAAAACACTTGAACCTTTTTTCTTCAAGTGTAATAATGATGCAAGCTTATAATCCATTGAATTCTTCTTTTTTTTGTTATGTTCGTAATGAACAGTGAACCTGTCGAAAGGGTAGAGTGGTCA